TTTATTTATTTTGCTGCCCTGGTTTTAACTTGTGTTTCATTATTGTGAGTAACGCCAGCGAAGCCCAGGAGGCCGTGTTCGCCCCCAGACTCTGGAAGGTGGGAAGCGCCCGGAGGAGCCGGTGCTGCGTAAGGACGCGTGCTCCCGTACACGCGTTCAACGTGTCACGTTCCTGCATTTCATTGAGCTACTCTGGTGCCTTAGTATTTAAAGGAAATCATGTATGATTTATTTACAACTTGGCTGATAATGTTTTATCAACATTTAGGAGGCCGTGTTCGCCCCCAGACTCTGGAAGGTGGGAAGCGCCCGGAGGAGCCGGTGCTGCGTAAGGACGCGTGCTCCCGTACACGCGTTCAACGTGTCACGTTCCTGCATTTCATTGAGCTACTCTGGTGCCTTAGTATTTAAAGGAAATCATGTATGATTTATTTACAACTTGGCTGATAATGTTTTATCAACATTTCTAAATCATGGCAATGGAAAAAACAAAGAACTCGGCTAAGTACCTTTGTAAAAGAAATACGCAAAGGATATCCTGGAGCAGACCCTTGAGCACTTCCAGGAAAAATACATTTATAAAATGCATTAATACAAGAAGCAGGTTTCTGTGAGGGATAAATGGTTGAGGTAAAGGAAAAAGTAAGCGAGCCTGTATCTGAATTTGAGAGGGAAAACTACTAAAGATGTCTCTAGAGCTGTCTTGCTAGAGCTTCCTAGATTTAACCTGTATTTTACGATTATTTAATCTTCTCAGATTTATGTTCACTAGGCTACGTAACAATTTTTTCTACTTTATACAAATTTTATTTCTTGGATTAATCCACATAATCCCTTTGTTTTTTCTTAAGAGTTGCTCTTCACCATTAAAACAATGTGTAACATACGGTATTATGACGACAGCTATTATATTGCACAGTATGACACGAACAGAGAACTTGTGCAGATTGTTGCTGCCTTCTGCGCTGTTCCATCCACGCCAGCAGGATCACCATCTGAGTGTGCAACTTTTGCCTAGATGTCCGCAATGTTACTTATGTTCTGTGACTGAAGTTTTCATGAGGTTGTCATCAACAAAATCATAGGTCCCACGGATCGTATGGGAGAGGGCGAAGTTGTAATCCCAATTAAATTTATAGGATTTCTATTAACTTCAGTGAGTGTTTTACTACAAAATGAAGAGAATGGGAGGGCTGCTGCAGCACCCTACTCGGTACAGAAACCTCATCTTAACTGGAGAAGCTGCAGCAGTTGTACACTGTATGCACCTCGGTATCACAGCACTTTTCTTGGCGAGATTCAACGGCCAGCAGAACTAACGCAAGTGTTCATAACCCTAGGAAGCCATTTCAAGGTAATAACGCAGATTAATTTGAGGTTATGATGTTATGTTCCCAGGGGCTTTTACACAATGACTTTTGTTATTTCAACACAAGAAGTCACGAAAGTAAAACCAGGGGTTAAGCTGGTTATATCAAGAGCTTTCAGCTGATGCAATGGAACAGCATTTCATCAGTCCCCAATGAACTTAAATATGAGACGTAAATCTACAGATAAATAATTATGAAACCTAAAATAAGCCATCTAAACTTAACCTCTGTAAATCAAACAACAAATCTCTACTGAGTGAAATGTATTTTATTCCTCATAGTTTAATGTGTTATGCTGATTTGTGCAAAATTAGGTTGACTTATTTAAAACCTAGTCACTTTTCACCTCCCAAGTAATGTGGGAGAACTTGCCTGACTGGACAGAAAACAGTGAAAAAATCCCACTGAAACAACTAGAACAATTGTCATCTTATATTAGCACACCAGCATTTTAGTGTGGAATGCAGCTTAATTTGTCTGAATTGGTGCTGACCATGGAAAATATATTATGACATTTGCTTAAGATAGTTGCTGTATTTTTAAAAAATAATGACTCATTATGGCAAGGCTGTTCATTATGAAATCCTTCTTTTGTTCCCGAGATACATACCAACAGAAAGGTCACACTTGAAAGGGCTGTTATGCATACTTAAACAACAATAACAAGAAGTTCTAAGATCTAAATTGGGCAGTGATTAAATCGACATCAGATCTACATAAATCTATACAATATACATAATACAGAAAGTCATGCTGGGTGACCCAAGTGGCCATTTGGATCAAAAGAACTTGTGTCCCATAAAATTGAACTCTATTATCACCAAAAACACACCAAAGCACTCGGAACCGGTTATGTTAGATCCTCTATCCACAGCTATCACAACTATGCCAGGGTATCTGGTTACATCATCGTCATCTTGACTGACTGTTGTCTAAGAGAACTCAACAGTGTTACAGTCCTTAAGGAAGCCTTAAAAAAAAAAAAGTTGAAAAACCCTGTTCAGTTTAAACACACTGGTAATTGAAGTAGCTGGTTTTGAGTCCTAGGGGTCCAGTTCTCAGATCTGGCAGTTTGTAAACAATTATTGCTACTTTTTTATTGCAACACAGAGTAAATAAGTTAATAGTTTGGAAGCAAAAATGATGCTTGAACCTAGCGGGTGCTGCCTGCAATTGTGCTAATAGGTTGTTGGGTTTATTGCAACATCTGCTGGATAGTGGAGATACCCTTCCTGAATCCAGTGAAGGACACCGACCAAATGAAGAAGAAAATCTAGGTCAACACAAAAATAAAAATTGGAGTCTAAACCAAAATATCTCAGCAGTATGGAAAGGCACTTGGTAATGACTGTATTCAGAATTAAATTCACAGGATTACAAGCAAATCTAACAGCATATGCGTGGCTACTCACACTCTCTACTTACATAGGCTCTTTATATCTAGTGGGTAAAAAGTCCAACAAAACATGTAAGGATGTGATTAAGCACGTCTCACTGAAATCAAGACAGCTTCTTATATTGCAAGTTGAACTTGCATATAAGCTTAATCGCGCTGGCATGAAAGTATGAAAAAAGGGTTGCTCAGTAACAGCCCCCTCCACCCTCGAGGTCTAAGCAGGCTGAGACCGAGCTCCATGGCAGCACTGTCTGAATGTGGACCACAGCAGCACTAGCGGGCTTGGAGGCTGCCAGTGAGCAAGCGAAGAGGCAGCAGGAAAGGAAAAGCTGACTCCAAAATGACAGTTATACTGGACTGGGACTAAACTTTTCAGCGTAATTATAGAAAAAGACAAATACAGAAAGCAAAGTTTATCTTGGCAAATAAACATCTGCATCTGCTGTTAAGGAGGTATGACATGTAGCATCCCGCACAGGCAGCTAAGGGCAGACATGACAGAGAACGTACCGCATCCAAAGTGGGAAGGTGAGCTGGGAATTAGTCCAGAAATCTGAGAATCACGATTCTGATAGCAATAAGCAGCAGCCAGAGTGAGCCCAGCCCTCCCACTGAGGGCAGCTGCAAAGAGGCAATAGAGCTAAGCAGGACAGATCCTGCCTTGCAACTCTTTGTAGTAAGGCCAGGAAGGGACTGGCCTTTACTCTGGCTGCAATGCTTACAGTTATTGCATCTAAAATTTAGTGCTAAATATGCAATTATTATAACGCAGATGCAGTTTGCAATCTACCTTTCCACAGATTTAGAAGCATTTAAGGGGGCGATAATCCTTTCTGTCAGTATCTTCACTAACACTTAGCTACGACTAGCTATAATGTAGTATTTTACCTAGTTCTCTAATCTGTTTCTAAAATATTTTTTTAGCACTTTGAAAATAATAATGTAACAGCTAAGCTTTTATTTTTAAAGTCAGTATTAACATCTATATATGGAAATTGAGGTCAAATAACTGCTGTACTTTTGAGAAAGCAAGGGGTACTGTCCAGAGTGATGCCATTTTACTCTTAATCCATACATACACAGTTCCTGCTCAAGGAAATTAATTTACCACCTCTCAAAAAAAGAAGAAAATGTGAAAATACAATCTTCAAATACAGACATAATGTTTTACAGCTGACAACTTCTGAGTAATTACAAAAATCACAGTGTTTATTTACAGACTACAATTCAAGTACCTTCATTATATTATTCTGCCAGGTTCATTTCAGCTGCCTTGCCTTTTTTTCAGTTTTTTTTTTTTTTGTTCAATATATTTCTAAGCCTATTTAAAATGAAAGGAAAATGAAATCCTCACTACATCATGGTTTCAGATCCAATCCATTAGAGAAGGACCTTGAGATGAGAAAATGCATTCCTCCAAAGTATGTTTTATAAATAATAAAAAAACCCTAAAATGCACGCAGACATAGCGCCCACATCCTCCCAGATTTCATTTGCATGATGTTCAGCTTTAATGCATAAGCTGCTAGCAACTTAAAGGAGGGGTTTATACATACACAGCTTAATCACTACTGTAATCTTACATAAGATTACAACAGCCATTAAAATGATCTTTTGCAAACAATCTTATTGGTACTAGCTAAGGTGCCGGTTTGTCTTGTACCAACAGCAGGGAAAGGTTTATAAAGACATCCAAAAAGTTGTGAAAAGTGGGGCTCTGACAATTAATGACAATTGCAGAAATTTAATGATTGGAACCCAAGGTTGGAGAATTCAGTGCGGCTGCTTAGCACTTCTTGAACAACCTGCCGTGCAATAAAGTTGTTTGAAAAAAACCCTCATTCACCCTCTTCCTTCAACTGCTTGTTCACTTTTCCTGAGGAGGTAGAAAAGACACCAGAGCCAGATCTACCAGGGACTAAGTGGGCTACATCAACTCTTAGCAGTTTCTGCTGTGGTTGTATGACAACACAGCTCCTCCCTATTTCCCTGCAGACAGTTCTCATCTTCCAGGTTAAGAATTATGAGAACTCAGAAAAGGGGTTGAATCCCTTAGGGATTATATAAATCGTCATTATGTGCCTGGAGCACAAGATGCTAAGGCACTGTGTGCATGAGTAAGAACTAAAGTATGCCAAAACACACAATATATTAGAGGTAGACTGACACTTTTTTTGGTCTAAAAACACATTGCTAGCCCTCACTGTTGAAACTAATAGTCTTTCAGTAGTTGGACTGCTCCTACTACCATTACTCCTACACAACAAAAAGGTAGAACTAGGGGACTAGCTGGATAGGACAAGATTTACGGCAGCGTTCCCGTTTCCTTGTTGAAAAATCCAAACATGCCTCGCCAACAGACATATTTGGGATGGGAAAGGTTACATCAGTTAAAACACACAAAGTCAAGACAAGTTTTTTTTTTTAAGTGATAGTAAGTTTACACACAGTTCTTTTTTCCCTCCTTTAGTAGAGAGTAGTTGTTCCTTCCCACAGCAAGGGTGGCAGGAAATGGCAGAGAAAGGAAACGTGCTTGTAGTAGCTGTCACAGTCCCCTGTCCCCATGTGAAGGAGAATCTTGCAAGACTGGCTATCCAAATTAAAGCCTCTGGATCTGTAGATAAGGGTTCCAATTACTGTGCAGTATTATTAAGTTCAATTTCACCTCACCAGATCTTAGCGGAATTTTCAAAGTAAAAACTATGTTATAGATCACAGCACTGTAAGGAAACAAGATACAACAATGTGCGTTAGTAAATGTTATCTACAGATTTTATGAAGGAAAAAACTTGCTTAAAAACTAAGTTAAATTTATATTCATATTTTACTACTATTTTAAGCAAATGGATAAAGTAGAAACATCTATTGGAACAAATACGCTTCAGTGAAGGAGAAATGCTCACCCAAGATTCAGCATCATGCTACTCATGCGACACATTAAGTGTTACTATGTAAACACTAGGAAAAAAAAATCACTTGCTTTGACAACTGCAGAGTAAAATAATTTTCTAAGGGACATAACTGTCCTTCAGATGAAAGTTAGTTTTATCCTATTTAATTCTACACTGTTACCAATTTAAATCCGGCCCTAGAACATTGAGTTTACTATGCTGTGTTGCACACGTGTGATGCACACGTCATTTATCAGGATTTTTCATTATTTTTGGGGTGGTGTTAATTGCTCTATATCCCTATTTTTCCTTCCACTAGAACAATGACCAAGTGTGTCACTGCTTTGTGCACCATTACACCATACCCTCAGGTTTAAAATGGAGTACTTGCAGTTATGGAGGAAGTGACCCTACAACATTTCTTCTACATTTCTGAGACCTGCAAGAGAATTTGTCAGCTCCAAGACAAGCTGCTACAGGAAGAAAAGTTGCTGTGGTCAACACTGCAGCTCTGTATTTTAAATGGATCTGATGATCCCAAAATCTTAGGACATGAAAGGCATGTGCCAACTATGTGGTAGGACTTCACGACTTCAATAGCAGCTCTGAAGGGACTACAATACAATCAAACATTTGGGACAGAACAGATACCATTATTACTGAGGTCATTGTACTCAGTCCCCACTCTATACACAGTGTCTTTTTATGTACACTGAATTTGGTCAAAAAGATCACATCTTAGGCAAAGAGAGGTAACAATCAGGGTCTGCGTTTCTATTCCCAGGGTACTGCTTGGCAAACCTGTATTCTTGAAGTACCAAAATAAAAACCAAGCATATTCATGAGAAAAGCCAAATACCCACCAACATCAACTAGACAGGACTGATAATAGTTTGGTATCTTGCAAGATAAAAGTCCGTTAGCAAGACTGCTAAATATCAGCTTTTAAACTCTTTAGTATTTACTTTTAACTATGTCAAGGAAAAAAAAAAAAGGAAAAAAAAATCAACAGCACACATACCAAGGTTTAGACTTAAAATGTCCACAATGTCTTTCGTAAGTGAGGTAAGGATGAAGTAATACCTATTTTCTTTTAAAAATAACAAAAGTAAAAATCAAGTATAATGAAAGCACATCAAGAAACAAACTGTACAATTTCTGAACTGCACTGTTTATTTTGCTGCTTGAAACCTAAGTGACAGTATGCCACTATAATTATGGGGTTTCTTCTAAACCTTTACTACACTGCAGGTACAGAAATATACGGACACATTTTTGGAGAATTGACATTTTGCAAAATGCAGCAAACATTTCAATTTATACATGAGAAAAGGAAGTGTTCAAAAGGGTATGCATTTCAAGTTATTGCAGGTTATTTCTGTGAGAGAATTTCTGCAGGTAAAACATGTTTAAATTTAACCAACAGTAACGTGTCAGTGTATTTAAAATCATGACAAAAATCTTCTCTCTGGTCATTAACTGCCCTTTGACAAATTACTAGGATGTTGTATGTTTAGGGCAAGATGTCAATACAGCATAAATCCCGTGGCATTTTGGTTTTCTTCTGGAGATTAAAGCTGTTTTTTTCTTGGGATAAATGCAGCAGCAAAACACAAACCAGCTGATCAAAAAAGCACTTCTGCCATAACTCCAATAATTTCAGGGCACACCAACCGACAGTAGTTTTGCCATTCCCAGTTCTTTTAAGGTTTACATCACTGCACTGTTGCCTTAAGTACGTTTGTAAAAGCTTGTTTTCTGTTAGGCCAACTTGCTGACTACAGCCTGGTTGAGAGAATTTAGTTGGTTGGTCCATTTATCTAACGCAGTATACCGTGCACCACCTCTCTTCTGATGATCCAGTTCTAGGAGCTGGTTGACTTGATCAATTCGGCCATGTATAGTGCTAAAAGTAAATAAATAAATAACTATAAATCACTAATGCACATGGAAATAGGAGCTAACAATAAATCAGAGGTAAAATAAGAGGTCTTCTTACAAAAGAGACACACAAAGTCCATTTCAGAATTGAGCACTTTTATAATATATTGTCCTGGGTAGTAGTGCCTATTGAGTTGTCATCATCAGTGGAAATCAAAATGAACTAATTCATAGGGCAATGCATATTTTATCTCCCTAGCTATGACCGACATGTAAAGCCTGAAGCAATACGAAGTAAACAGTTCTTGAAAGGCAGGGAACAATGAAATACAGGGTTTATTTAAAAAGAAATTTAAATATAAACCCATGTGTGGATTATATTTTCCTAGTAGATATAATAAGTTACCCTCCAAAAAAAAAATTTACAAACTATACTTAAGTTTTTCCAGTCAAGGAGAGCAGACTACTAATTTGTCAACTTGAAAATGTACTTGTAAACATACATGGGTATAAACGGCAATTACTAAGGACAATAATTTTCATAATTTCATAATAAGTAATTTATTACATAATTCAGAATTAAAGTAAAAACATGCCACTCAATATCTCTCTATGATTTTCTTGGCTCACATCTTACAAATATACTTTACTGCTCATAAGCCAAGCAAATCCAAACAAAGTCAGCATCATTACCTTGTGGTTCTAGAATCAACCAGTATTGTCACAATGCACAAAAATACTGTTTTGTTGCTTCTTGTATACTTTGATTATTTTAAAGTAATTAGAGATCAGTAGTCAAGAATATAGTACATACTTATCCAATATGCACTGCACAAGCAAGCTTTCCACATCAGCTACATCTATGTTTAACTCCTAAAAGAAAAAGAAAACTCATTATGCTGCTACTCTGTTTTGCAACATTAAATCCTTCCAATTTTTATTGTCATATGAAGAATTTGGTTTCATTTCCGTTTCTTACTGTTAAAAAGTATCAATTCAATAATGATCTATCATGCAAAAGAATTCCACCCAAAGTGTATATTGCCAATGACCAAGAGATCAGTAACCTCTCAGAAAAGTCTGAAGAGGCTAAAGCAAAATTTTCGGAAGCTCCAATAATTAGTTCCTTTGCTGACTTACTAAAAAAAAACCAAACCAAAACACCAAAAAAACCAAACCAACAAACCACAAAAAAACCCAGAAATAAAATAGGACAATAATTATATCAGAAAAGAATGGGTCTGTACTCAAAAAGCATGTAGAGGGCTAATTGTGTCTTCTGGCTCAAGCAAGTTCTACAAATGTTAAGGTTAGCTTAAAAAAAAAAAGCCTACAGAGTTCTGAAGATAATTTAAGCACAAAAAATAGGCATCTCTAATACTTCATGATATATTTTGGAATGCTGTGAATTTTTGCAAGAAAAATCACAGACTCACAGGAGATGGAAATAGTCATCTATTGTCACTGGGTTTTGATTTTGTTCTTTCCAGATTAGGGAACGAAATCAGTGATTCTAGTATCATAGTCAGTTTGTTCTATTGCCACAGTTCTGTAACTCTTACAACACAGACATCTGAAGATATCTTTTGAACAAAAGGAATTAAAATTTGAATTTTAATAAAATTTACATTCATAATTAAATTTTGAGCTATAAAAATTTCACTTTTTCAGTTTCTCTTCAGCAAAGTGCTTTTCTACACCAAGTAGAATATGGTAATGGAATATTTCAAAGTATATCATAGCACATGTTATAAAGAGCATTTGGACTATACTTGGAATTAACATTTTCTCACTGCAAAGCTGCCAGCAGTGCATCAGTACTACTTCATAGTTTAGATTATATTTTACATGTTCTATTTCTGGAAGCACTGTATTTACTTAAGAGCTTTTATTCACAATTAATCATTTACTTAAACAAATGCAAGGTTCCACTGACACATACCTTAGAAATAAAAGGAATATGTATTCTTGTGTAAGGCTTAATTAATTTTATAAGCACTTGTGTTCTGATGTTTCGCAAAAGCTCTGTAAAAGAAGAAAAAATAAATACCGTAAAAACAACAGTACTGAAATAAAGATGCAACACAGCTCTATATAGAAAGATATCCTAAATACGATGATCTTTTAAGGTAGTAATTCAGTGAGGTGGGGAAGCACAGCAAAATAGGGGGACCCTTTTTTTCCAGGGATCAAAGCAATATGTAACTCTGAAGATGGACAGATAGAGTTGAAAACCATTCAAACGTGGAGCAACATATTCCCTGGTAAAAATTTAAATTGTTCAAACTAACTGGCTAAATCAAACAGATTATTGCACGGTATGTTTACCCCTCTAATTTATGGCTAGAATGCTTGCCTTGTACAAAGTGAAAAGAGGTATTCTTAAGGCTCTGAAACTAAGTCTGCATGCATTTAACTTCATGGGAAATACTCACTTTTTAAGTTAAAAGATCAGGGCCTAATGGTGTAATTATGGTGAGGAACTGAGGAAGTATAAAACAAGAGTCTGCAGGAAGTGGCTGATTTTTCTTAGGTAAGCTAGTGCAGCCATTGTTTTAGAAACTTTTACATTACTAAAGAAAATTTGGATAAAATAGAAGCATAATTTACAATTTTAAATTAACAGAAATGAGCTAAATCCATTTTTACTTAACTAGTTACACAAGGACTGTTTATATAGTGAAAAATAACACTTAAGACCAGATTATGTATCTCAATAAAACCAGTGAGATTGAAACAATGAGACAGGGTATGTAAGCATTATAACAAGCACACACTCTGTGTAACTACCGAGTGAAAAAGATGAGAATGTCTTTTTTTCCCCCCGGATATCACTAGCAGACTATTATAAGGGGTGAAACTCAAATTCTCTCCAATCCTTTGAGTCAGCTGTCCTCCTTCTCTTGCTTTCCAGTTCTGTCATACTTTCTTCCTTTAGCATCCATCTCTCTAATCTTAGAGACTACAAGACTTTGAAGCTTACCAGTAGTCGACATGTAACAGCAATAGAGGGGTTATATTTAGTTTCCCCTGCTGTTTGCCATGTTCTCTTTTACAAACAAGAAGTGTAAGAAAACCAGGTCCCTGGATTTAACTCTTTTCTTTCATGTAACTATTCAGCTAAATGGTCTTGCAATGCCACAAGCAGCCCTACTCTCAATGAAAACAGTAGTTATCTGAAAAACTGGACACTATATTCAAGTGAAGGGTCTTTTAAATGTCATATACATGACAATTTCAGGGGGTAACTTTATTTTGTCACGTTAACGGAAGGGATGGGCACGTGTTAGTGTGCTCTCCTGTTTCATTAAGTAGAGGTACTATAAATCCAAACATTGTTTTCAATATATAAATTAGAATTATGTATTTTGTTACATATTTTATGAATACACATTTATTAATTCAACCTTCATTACATTGTCTGCATATTTTGTCTTTCATCTGAAGTAGAAAATTAACCACATAAACTAGCAAACATCTAACTGTTGAGACTGACAGAAACAACCTTTACAAGTAAGGGCTGCCCTCATTTAATCCTTCCAATGGAAAAAATACTCAGTGCCTAACACCACTGTAGATATTGTCTTGAACTACCCACTCTCGCTAGAACTTTCTTCATCAGGCCTGAACTACTTCACAGTCATTCTACAGGCCTGGATGCATGCTGGCCTTGACCAACTTCTAAAGAACTTGGAAACAGTAAGGCAAGCATCCACAAGTAATTACAAAAGAACTCTTACTCTGCTAAGAGGAAAAATAAGCCGGGTGGGGGGAGCTTACCAAATAGTGAAAAAAACTGATTAAGGTACCCTGCAAACATACCTTCAATGTGCTCCCTTATGAAGGGATCGTCCATGATGTTGCTGTGATTTGTTTTCAGAATCTTCTCAAATTCAGTGATGTCATTATTCTGATAGGCACTTCAGAAACAAAAAAAAACACCAAAAAAAAAAGAAGACAATTACTATTTTTAAAAGTTAAACAGACTCATAAGACTTTGTTCCACCTCTTCTAAAAAATCCCTGTGTTAAGTGTTGGTGGCAAATATTCAGAACCTTTATAAGGAAAAACTGTTTCAGGTTGAGATGTAACAGAAATGACCTTTCTCCTATTTCAATTTTAGTAGCATTTACAAAAGTTTAGTATGAACATTTAGTTATTCTGCAAGTGCACTCTAGTTTAAAAATTTTTGTACTTTAAGAACGTATTCTTTAAAAAAGCCTAGACCCTAAAAATAGCCAATTTTGAGAAGTATCATTACTTGAATTTTGGCTTCATGAAGCCATACTTTATGGAACAAATAAGAGCTAAAAGGAGTCTAGAGGGCTGTTGCTGTTCCTAGAATGTCTTACACTGAATTCTAAAAATACTGGAAGATGGAAGAAATCCTGACTTCCATGATTAACCATCAGTAATTTTGGCATAATATTACATTTTAGATTTTTATTTCTAGCTTATTTTTAGTACATATATTGCTTAACTAGTCAAACTCGTTTTCTGAGAAAGGGTTACAAAAAGAAGGTGGGTTTAGAGAGTAGTGGCACCACAGCATCATTTAAAGGCAAGAGCTGTAACCACTAATTCAAGACCTTTTTCTTGAAATATGGTTTTTCAAGTCTATCACCTCTTCTTACAGGAACAGTCAGCTGTAATAGGGACTATCTACTAACCCATCAAACTTACGCAGCAATTTAGTTATATTAAGCTACAGGCTATCAATATTTAACCTGAAAGACATAGTGCTCAACACATGCTTTCAATTTCTGTCTAATACTAACATCAAACATTTTAATAACATTGTCTATCTTTCCTTCATAGTCTCTGCACATTTTCAATTTTCAAATTATTTTTAAACTGGTCAAAAAAAAAAAAAAGTCATCCTTTATTATCAGCAAAATAGGCAAGAAAAAGACAAGTTAAACTTCAGGTGAAACTTGAAGAGTTTATAGAGTTATATGAGTGGAATGGACTATATCACATTGAAACCAGTAAATTTTACTTGATAATTAAAAGGAATTTCAGTTAAGTATATTTTATTGTTTATCCCAGAAGTCTCTTTTTACCATATGTAAAACATTTGAGTTCCCAATGTAGAGTATAGGAAGACTTAAAAACATAATTGTAACCTTTGGAATTGATTTTACCTTCTGCTTATTTCTTATCTACACTGCTTTAATTGCATTATTAATTTTAAAGAAGCAGTTATATTCAAATATCAAGTTAAAATATATAAATTAGGAATATGAAAAAAAATCAGATGGGGTAAGGCCATCTGGAGTTCCTTCTGCCTTAAATTTACATGAAACTATGACAGTGAAGTAGAAAAGACATGTCTAAAGTTATATTATTGGAAAAAGTCCCTTAATAAACTGCCAAATCATTTATTCATCGTTATGTCAATAACAGATAAACATCCTCACTTTCAGAAACAATTTGTATGCATACAATGTATGTTACACCATAACAGTATCAGAGCAAGGGTTGCCCCAACATGGTATCAACTGTGTATTTAAAAATGTGAGCAGACATTACTTCTTACATAATTGAAAAGTGGGAAAAGTTTTCCTACTCATTCATTTTTTTTACTTGATAAAGCAAAGGCAGGAAAGAGTAGACGGAACAGGTTAGCTTCACAGCACAGTATACAAAAACTGCCTCAGTTCAATTTATTTTGCCTGATGATCTTAATACCATAAAAGTTCTCATATCACAGTTGCCTCTAAGAGATAATGAAGTATTCTTTTGATTTTCACGTATGTTTGAAGGATAGGGAAGATTATGTGAGAGTCGGTTTCATATAGCTAAATTATGAAACTCCTTTACTAATCATGACATATCCATGTATCCAATTATTCTATTGGCTTTGGTACGAGATGTCAGTGATCTCAGTGTCTCATAGATAATCAGCCAAATCCTAAAGACCAGTTGCACTACAAGGTGGGACAACTTTATTCAAGGGAAGAAATGAGCATTTTGCCACTGCATAAGAAAATCCCCACAGTAGAATATAACATCATGTTTATGTACTCCTACCTGGTACAGTATAAATACTTCGGTATGTCATAGTAAATAAAAGTTTCTTAAGAAAAACAAACAGTCCACAAATGTTTGCCCCACATTTATGAAATAACTGTGTTAGCTGTGCAGAGAAAAGCCACCTCTAAAAATATTCCACTTATGGTTTGGACACTACATCTTTTTATTTTTTGTTCTTTTCTGCACAAAAATTAAAATCTTACCTTACTAAGTTTGTCATTGCTAGAATCTCTGGATCATTTTTGTATGGTTTAGCCTACAGAGAACAGAAAGCACAATATGCATGTTTAGATTGTAAATATTTTTTTCCATTTTTGTCTTTTGGGTAATTCCCTATCAATTCAGAAAAGGAGGGGGAAAAAAAAACAAAACCAAAAAAATACCTCCTGAGAGTCAAATGGGTTTATTCCAGATTTCATAAGCATGTTTGCTAAGACCAAGTATTTTAAGCAAGTAGTTCTTCTGGGGCTCCCTGATTCATCATAATTCTTGAATGCTTCAAAAAAATCAGTATGTGCCTTTTCAAACTCTCCTTCTCTTAAGTGCATTTTGCCTCCGCATTCTGAAAAGAAAATACAGATGAAGAGAAAAGGAACACTGCGTGCTTGTTGCTGACTACGATAATTGTACTCAGAAGTTCCATGCTATTTCTAAATAGATTACTGAAATATTTTCAGGAGTTTTTTCATTCGCTGAAATTGCTAAGAAAAAAAAAAAAGCATTAGGAACTTCACATACAGCATTGCCATTTAAATGAACCCATTCCAAAGAAGAAAAAACAAAACCCAACCCACACCATAAATCTAAAAGAACAGTAATCCTCACAGCCAATAATTATTTAACCTTCTGTTAAAATACTGTAAAAACTATAATGGAATTTATCTCCATTTCAAAGGCAATAGAATTCCTGTATTTATGGAATTTTCCCAATCTCTTGAGCAAAACCACACAGAAAACTTGACAAATACTCTGTATCTCCTTTTATTTCTGAAGTACCCACTGCTGCCTGTTTGCCTGTGCAAGTGCCTACACCAGGGCAAGAGGGAAGGCACAACAGTTTTTTTCAAGACACACGGCATGTTTCCACTATAATTCATCATTATGGATAATAAATAATATTTTCAAACACATCTTAAAGCTCTTCAGTTCCTGATGAATTTTAGTGAGGTGAGACCTCAAGCACAAATTTACAAAAGGGGATTGCAGAAATAGCAGTCCCTTCCACTAGCAGTCCTGTCAAGCCTTTGTTTTTATCCTTTGCAAAGGCTTTTGCATTTATCCTTTGTTGCCTGCCATGGTGTCAAACAGCTCAAGTCTTCCTCTTGTTCTTTTATTGCTTCTCTCCTACAGTGTATGTAGCCAACTGTCCTGCCCTTCTGACCAGCGCATCTGGTACTTAGGCACCAGAACAGCAGAGCTGAAGTCCTACAGGAAGCAAACATTATATGATGAGACTGCAGCCACTGCATTTATAGTCCTTTATTCACATACGGTTGGTCTACCTCTGAATCTACAGAATCCTCTGTCTTTATAGTTGGAACTAGAAAAAACGTTAATTATCAGATTTTCATAAAACTAATCTATGCAACAGAAGTTAAATGAAAAATTCAAAATTAACTTGCCTCTGATAACTCCCATGATCAGTGGATGAGGAATGGCTGACTTGATGTGCAATGACTGTTCATATAGTGCTTTAAGTTTTTTGTTATTTTTCTGTGCTGTATACATTTGAATTTCCAAAGCATAGATTTCCAATAGTTGAGTACCTTTTTTTAGATCATCTTCCCCATCATCAGTCTAGGATAGATTAAGTAATAAATACTGTGAAATTTTAAAAGAACAGTGATTTCAGTTTTATACTAGTAAAAAACTGACTACCAAATACTCTCAGCAATTTCCTGTCAGAAATAAGGATATTCTTAATACTTTAAAGTTTTGATATAAGTATTAACACAAAACTTAATACTGAAAGAACTTATCACAGGCCAAGTTCTGAAGTCCTTTATTAAAGAGAGTCAGTATTTTTATTTAATTAAATGCTTTCCCTTTAACAACTTTCAGAACTTTGCCCTTTATTATTTTCCACTTTCCTTAAACCACACACTCAGTATATAAATGCAATGGCTGACACACATATGTGTATATATATATAATACACACAAGTCATCTGCTGCCTGTAACAGAACCATTTCCCAGGTATTTGTAACCCATTTTCCATGCTAAAGGAAGAAAAGGGGACACAAACAAGCATAGCAGGCTGCATGGCTTATTATTTTTCCCCCCTTCCAAATGGGAAAGTAGCAACCGTACTTTCAGTTTTGAGTAAAGGTCACTTGGAATCTTCACTACATTGTAAAATAAATGTCTGCACATTATTGATTATTCATACATGCTTATCATCCTTGCACCTGACTAAAAGGAAACTTAATCAGCAGTTGTGAATAATTTTTAAAAAATCATCTTTAAGCAAGAAACAAAACACTTACTTTTTGTTCACATTATCAAAAAGATAAACAAAAGCAGGCACAATAATTCTTTCCTCTGTGCTGAAGCTCAGCAACATGCCTCAAAGGCCAACAACAGATGTAAAAAAAAAAAAAAACAAACAAAAAAACCCAGTGTTATTTACTAAGCTACAGTGATTTAGAATATAAAGGTACCTGGCATGACTGATGCAGCTGACGCAAAATCTTTTGTAACTTTCCATATTCTTCTCGTTCTAAATATAATTTGCCAAGCTGTAATGAAACAAAAAGTTGAAGCGCTTAAGGTCTATTAAGATTTCACAATTATAATTTGTAAGAGTTAGCTGAAGGTGTCACAAGCAAAAGCAAAAACCAGTAAGTGATATATTTTACCTTTGTGTTTGTCTTAAACCACAATCTATCATTCTTAGCATCTTTCAGAGCTTCAAGTGTTGTTTCATAGAATTCCTGAAGCAAATCCATCTGACATAAAAAATCAGAATTCTATAATTGTAAACAGCAAATTTGTACCTGTTAATAAAGTCAGTCTGAACAAACTAAAGTGCATGCTTGAACTTCAAAATAAGAAAGGTATCTGCATCTTACTGAATGCCTGCTTTTAAACTGTAAAGAGCTTCTAAAGTAACAAAACTAAGTACACTTGCTTTTTCTTATATGAAATAGATATAATTTAAAAGTATTCACATTTTAAGATTTGCAACCATCTATCATGCTAGTGAAAAATGAAAGCCACCTTATACAAGCGCATCTTACATAACCAAGTAATAAAATGCTTACATTATGTAACAAAAGACAAATACTAACAGGCAACATTCCTCCTACTTAAAACAAGAAAAACAAAAATAATTTACATATCAAAAAGAAAATACAATTTACAAAGAGAGAGAAATGGTCTCTCCTTTATATACTATCAGTGCTGTGTGAAAGAAAGCTCTTGAGCACTTCAAACCGTTTCTTTGCATAAAACCCCAAAATACAACATCTAAATGGAAACCAAAGTGCTGAGCATGACCTTTAACAAAGGTTCTACAAAGAATGCATTAATATTGTTTATGGCCATTGTTGGCTATACATCAAGTTAAGAGTTCCAGATTGTCCCTCCAGGTCTGGCTCCAACTGCATTTAGACCAAACACACCGACCTCTGCCAACAAGGTACAATCTGAGACAATCCTTTAGACCTTAAATCATCATTCAGCTATTAAACTTTCATCTTCTATGAATGGCAGGACAGGAAGGATTGTGATGACGACAGAGGAGTCATCACTAAAGACCAGTGATCCTCCATATGCAGGTGCTACTCCCAGGTAGTCAGTCAGGGGAGCTTTCTCGTCTCTGTAAAGCTTCTACAACACCACAAAAGGAGCTGGGCTGTGTATCTATGAACATGTACCTAGCTTGCACAGTACACTCAAAGACATGTATGTATGTAACACTGACACATCATTGCAAAGTTTTTCAAAGATTCCCCTCTCGCCACAAAGTAAAAAAAAAAAGTATTGGTATTAATTACAAATTATAGTTGAGAAGGCACTTACACTGTGTAACTACTATGCTAAAAAAAAAAGAAAAAAAAAGAAAAACTAAAAGCAGTATTTACTTTAGTCATTAGCATAGAAATCCCAGGTAAATCTTGCCAAAACCCCCCAGATTCATGAAAAATTAGTGTGTTGATAGAATCCATTAAATGTGGGAAATTTATTTTAACATGTAACAAAAATTAATACTGTAAATGTTCTCTATTAAGATCAAAAATCCCAAAATCAACAGACTACCGTACACAAAAAAGTCCATAGTTAAAAATATAAAAAGGAAAACCACGGAGATGAAACAACTGATGATCTAACCTGCTTGGAAGTAGAGATATAATCAAGAATAGAATTGATGGATTTTTCAGAGTAATTCCTTGTAACTGCACTCCGTATGTAGGTCAATAGCTGTTTATATCTGTTCATCATTTCAGGAAAGTTAGTCTAAAAGAAAAACAAAATTAGGTTATAATTTTTGTTTTAATGATTAAAAACTGAGTTATAACTTGCAAATACACATACAGAAAAGAAAGCATAACAGAAAGACTATGCAGTAGTGGTTGCTATTAGGAACTTTTACATCACCACTTTATTCATAAGCAGCAGAATCAGGAATAACTTCAGCAACATTGCATGAAATAGACGTTTAAAATATCTCAATGAAGAAAACAGAGTTGGCTATACAACTATTTGGAATGGTTGCATACGTAGCATGTAAATTTTTCACTGTTTTGTTCTGGTGGAGTACACACATATAGAAACATTACTGGTTTCGATGGTATGACACCTCAGGATAACAAGGACTGAGCCTCAAACTTTCAGAGTATTAGCTGGCTGCAGAGCAGCTATTTTGCATTCATTTTACCTTTGACTTGCAACCACCACATAATTTCCCTGCCACGTCTGTAGTAGCCATCAAGGGCCGCAGAAGACAAATTCTGGCAGATTTAATTGTCATAGCCACAAATTAGAATAATAAGATACCTGGATCAAATACATTATTTATGCTATTTATTCTCAAGTGATAATTGATCAAGTGATAAAAAAAGAAATTCCTACCAATTTAAAGTTTATTTTAATCATCTGTTTCAGAGCTTTGAATCCCCATTCTCCTTTTTCACCTTCGAGCTCCAAAACCTGAAATAGAAGAATTTTTTAAACAATATTGATGAAAGCTTTATTAAAACGTAAATTGCTTTGCATCTTGTTTAAAATGTACATACCCATACACACCTTTCCTCCCCACACACTTTGTTCTTTACAAAGTAATGTTTCACTCTGCCCTCTTCAATTTTACTCTTCCCTGGTATTATTGAGAAAGTTAGCGAGGGTTATGTACCTTACTAGTTTTCTACTCCTTCACTGATGTAGGGAGGGTGAATTGTTACTTAACAGATTTTTTTGTTGGTGTTGTCTAACACCAAACACTAAACTTTAATGCCACTTCATAAATACATAGACACAAAAAAGTTGTAACACCCCCTGCAAAACTGACTCAACCCACCCCTTGACTAAATTAGTCAAAAATTTACACTTCTGAATTACTATAGTTTCTTCACATATCAGAAAGGCTTCTAAGCTTTAATATAACATAGTTAAGGGAATGTTTTGTAAGTAAAAATTTTAGAAAGTTTTTTTTTAGGTCATGTATATAATACTGTTATACACTATAAGTAAGCCAAGAGATGCAAAAATCTATTTTTTCTTTAAAAAGTTACATCTAACATATTGCTTCCTGGTGGTAGTGTGCAAACATTAAAAGTTTAAAACTGACATGAAGGAAAGAAGCTCTATGTCACTTAGTATTTATGCATTTAAAGCTTTGAAATCAGATAGCAAACCAAATATAACATGTTGCATAAGACACTGGGGAAAACATTTCATTTTAAAAAACGAACGGATCTGGCTTCTATAGTTGACATATCAAAACACACTTAGGACTGTTTAATTAACTGAAGATTAAAAACTCAGTTCTGCCATAAAATAGGACTATTCCATGTCCTATTTGTGCTCCCTAAGAATGATCCTGAAAGGCAGTCAGCCAGGAGTCTAAGCTGTCCAATGATAAACTTAGCACATTAGTAAGTTAAAATATGAACATTACTCTTAAAATAACTTAAATGGTAATCAAATATTTTTAAATGTGAATTAAGATAAAAATAAGAGATAGAACATAAAGACAGCAAACCTTCTGAAAACTGCTTAATGCTGCTTTGGGATCATCTTCCTTCAAAGCTTTGGAATTGTAGTATTGATTTTCCAGATCCACATTTGGTTCAGAATTGCTGTCTTCAGAATATTCCTACATTTTAAGGAAAAAAGAAAACAACAATTAAAATCAGAGAAAAAAAAAGAGAAAGGTTCTGGTATCTAGTATTCTGAAAAGCAATAAAATATAGTAAGACACATTGCTCAAAGACACAGAATGCTTGTATATGAACAGAAAATCTTCAGGTTTAAAGCATGTAACAGGTATGGACTCTTAGGATGACTTCCTCTCTCTCCCATTACTAGGCCAGCTTTACCATCCACCAACACTTGCCTGTCAACAGATTGCTTTATGGACTAATGAACTCATAGCTCTACCAACTTCGCCTTTATGACAAGTACAGACTGTATTATTAAAATTCTGCCAATTTTGGTGTTTAAGGACAGATGCCTAAGAGCATATGCCATTTCAGTATGGGGGAGAGAACATGCTGGCCACTAGTCTTCTAAAAGGCACACTATTCTATGACCTTTGCTATCCACAGAGAAGAATCTGGCTGAGCTGCCACACAAGTAATGATTCAGCAATGGGGAATATAAAACGCTTCCATGAATCTCTCTCTAATCTGCCTTTTTATGCCATTAAAGATTCATACTTGTCTAAGGAAATTAAAAAAAAAAAAAAAAGAATAATGATGATCACACCAGCTGCTTCTGTGCTGAGATGTGCAGGAGATGATTGAGAAAATGCTAAAGATACCGCCAAAAAGGGTGGGGTGGGGCATAGGCACAATAATTTAATCAAATAATTATCCATCATGTACACTAGCGCCAAACAAATTGAAGAATTTACTTCTACCAATTATTACTTCATTAAAAAAAAAAAAAAGTACTCCAAGGCTTTTTCTGATGAAAAAAACCCAAGTGTTTTATCTTCTTTTGTTGAAGGACAGTGTGTGTCTGAATTACAAAACGCTAACAAAACTCAAATAATAACTTAATTTGAGGTTTACACAAGTCAAAAATATTTCACACCTCTGCATTTTCAAGCCAACTTCTCTCAACAGAGTTCTTAGCTATTAGGAGATGAACTGTTTAACAGAATCTGTTTAAATCTCAAAGTTACTGCCATCAGAGCAACCTTCCCTTGTAACAATATAAACAATTCAGAGTCAGGTGCCCTTCTTTAAGTTGGGAGTTTTTCTTTTACTGTACTTCATCAGGCACATTTATTCTTTTGTTCATTCATATATTGTTAATATTAATGGAATCCTTCAAAACCATGGGAAGGAATGAAAAAAAGATGAGGCAAAAGAGAAGTTTTAAATTAGCTCTCTCTTCCCACAGTGCAAGCAAATCTTTCAAAGTTTAACTTTTCTGAAGTTCTAATGGAAAAATTAATTATAGGAGCTCACAGTTGGCCCAAATTTTATTAAACATGGTCCTACAGACATTTATCCTTCAACCTGCTAATGTTGCTATTTGTTACATGTAGGCAAGTTGCTCACGTATGTATTTATTTATACTCACACGAAGTACTAGTATTTAGTGAGAACCCATGGACTTCAAAGCCTAGTGAATTCCACAAACCTGTTTTCTGAATTCCCAGAGAACTATAAAATTTAATACTGAAAACTACAAACAAAACAGGAAGCAAGTGTCTCATTTCAATGGGCAGACTTTCCTTTTGGTTAGCTTGTTTTCGTAAATTCCTTACCCTATTGATCTGACACTGGCGGAGCAACTACAAGAACATGCACATGACGTCAACAGCTGTAAGCATTATCAAGCACCTTACGAAGATACAGGCTGCCAAAGCTTAAACAACATAGCATTTAAGATACATGTAATCAGCTGATGTCTTGTTTCCACTAAACTTGAACAATGGGGAATATTTTTGGCAGAAGTATCTATTTGTAAAGATAAAAAGGAAAGCAAACTAAATTAATTCCTTTTAGGAAGCAATGTGCTCTGCTAGCCTAAAGCCAGAAACATCTAAATGTTCATCTTAGCTCTGGCAGTGATTCTGGATGTTGACTCATGCAGGAAGCCTTTTTCCTGATCGTTTTTCTCAACGCTACTTAAATATCCCATAAAGCTATTTTCATAATAATATTAATACATAATAAAGAATAAGTGTTAAGTCTAGAGATAATTTTTTTCTAATGGAAACACTTTGAAATGCATCAAAGGTAGTGTTTTATGTTCTCACAGCTGTATTTTCCCTTCACTTGATGCCTATTCGCCTCACATCAAATTTAGGATGTTGATATGGACTCAAAGGTCCAAGGGAGAAGGGCTTTCCTACTTCTGGAAAATGTAAGGTGCTTACTTTAAAAGACATATTTAGATTTAATGGCTGTGCAGTATGATACAAATGTGAGAACATTCTGCTTTTGCCAAAAGCAAAAGTTAAGGAGGAAAGGAAAAAGTGTGAAGCTGTATCCTCGAAGTTCAAACTAAGAAAAAAGATGCATTTCCTTCTCAGCATGGAAAACAGAAAAGTTCTTTTAACAATAAATTCAGAGACCAATGCTTAACCTTTCCTCACCCTCACTTTTAACACCCCTGCTTCCTGCCTGAACAACTTCCCCAACTCAACCCTTTTAGATAGAAAGTTTGTTGCATCAAACAATGCAGTACCAAAATAAAAGTGCACAAAAAATATCACGTTTACAAGGATTTCTACAGAACTCTAAAAATCTCTACTATACCATCTAGATCTAATATTCTGCATAGTAAAGAACACCCTTCACTATAACTCTGAGATATGAAAGCACCTGTGTGATATACTTAAGTTCCAGATGACATAAAAAAAGTAACAGGCCTAAGTCTTTTCTTTTTTTAAGATCTTGGTGATATTTTTTAAATGGACATCAACACTATCAGTACAAATGAAAACAACAGCTGTCTAACTATGCAGAACTGATCTCGAAACCCACGTAGTTCTCCCTTCCTGACAGGATCAAAACAAACAAGTGAGGCTTTTTATTATTACTCATGAAATTAGAAAGCCCCGATACAGCCTTAAAAAAAATGTAGTTAAAATTAAGACATTATTTAAGCATTGCTCCATTGAAAATCTGCATGTTCTAAATGTAGTCAGTTAGAAACAATCCAATCCCATCACATCACTTTTTGGGGGAAGAAAAATTACACTAGCTCAACTGCAATGGAGATAAAACCTCTGATGTAGCTTACTCTACCTGGAACATAGTTCTTTCAAATAATTTTAATAGAAGTTAAATTAGTAACAAGGAACCAATTTAATTTACAAGTCTTTATTGCATTACGTATTACGTTTTCACAAATTTCATTTGATCTAGTAAACAGTTTTAAAACATTAAGCCCCAGTTTCTAAAATGAACACACACAGAAGGCAATTCACCCTGGTCAGCTTTAACCATCCTTTTTAGGGCATGGATCCATCTGCAGTTTCTCCAGCAGCAAAGGCAGGTTAAGAGCACCCGGCGCTCCCCTACCCTCTCTGTTCATTTCTGGTCCTAGCATCCCCTTCACTGCAGCGACTCAACATGTTACACTGTACGAGTCCTTGATGATGGCTGATGCTGCCTGGGTTGAGAGAACAGGCCCACCAACGCTTACACAGATACAATCCTGAGCCTGGCGAGCTGTGGCAGAGGGGCAGGTGACCAGGTAGGGTAAGAAAACCAGCTGTGGTTTCAGAAAACTGAAGCAGGAGCCTTACTCAATGTGGTCTTGAGAGATGATACAGAGCTGAAGCACAGCACCTCTCCTCACAGACAGAATAAGGTACATGAACTTGGAGACAGTAACACTGTATCAGTGACATTTAACAGCAGATTCATGGTATTCTAGTAGATTAGAGTGTCACATTAACCTGGTAAAGTTAAGCATGTGCAAAACCAAAGATACAAGTCTTTTGTGAAAACTACTGCTGTTCAGTTACTAATTTTCTTGTCTCCTCTCTTGGCTAAAGCACTTCCCTAACCTCTACATTGAAAGTGGAAAGATAAACTTTTGCTTCTCTGTGTATCGTTCACTAGCTGCATAGGAAGCAAACCCCTACTTTGCAAACATTTTTAAAAAAAAAAAAAAAAAAAAGGGAAAGTAGCAGAGGATAACTTTCCAGACAAAAGACACCATACAAAGAGTTCTATTTCTGTAGAAATTTATCCTTCAAGGACATTGTTAACAATAGTTATTACTGTCAATTTTCAATTGCTGGTAATTTTACCAAATTTCAACCACTGGGCTGACTCAAATAATTCTTTTTTTTCTGAAGTGCAATTGTTTCTGAGAATAAGTCTGGTACAAATTTGATTTTACTTCAGCTAACTGTGTTTCATAACCATGGCATTTAGGAGGTCTGCTAACTCTAGGACTTGGAGCAAAGACCTAATATTTTGCAAGAGCACTAGTGATGCGGGGTTGGGAGAGGGCGGTCAGTTTGTTTGTTTTTTTAAAAAACAACACAAAAATGCCCAAATGAGGCCAACTGGAAAAAAAAAGAAGTAAGTAACTCCTCAATATATTAATATATTAGCTTGCCAGCTAAATTTCTTGAACATTTAATCTACAATGAATATGCACTATTTTCACATAGCTCATATGCACTGGCTGCAAAAGTGACCAACCGAACACCATCCTGGCACTAAGTACAACTTTCTTTGCGTTTGCTCTTCCTGGACCACTGGCCCCCAGGCCCCAGGACAAAAAGCAAATAACAGTTTCTATGTTCGTTTGACACCGGTATCCAGGCACACGAATATAAAGAAAGCAATCAGACTGGAATGCAAAAGAGTTAAGGGGGCAAAGAACAGAGACAAACCGTGAGAGTAAAAACAAGAGTGTGACTTGTGTAAGAAGTCTGCAACCACTCAACCATGCATTGGGAGTCCTGGATTTCTTTTCCACATTCCAGGTCTCTCTGCTCTTCTGCTCCTACTTGCTAACTCTGCAAGTCATCCAGTGCCTGCTGGCTCACACCGGGGCTGACACCAGGAATAAGTCTAAAGCCAGCGATTTGCAATGGGGTCAGTACACTTCCATGGAAAGACAGTGCTCTGCTTTTGGTTTTATGTTTTTTTAAGCAGAAGGTGCACTGAAATGAGACGGGAGACTGTAGAAAGAAAAAAGCGGTATTATGACACGTAAAGAGTCTCAAAAAGAAGTGGCTTCCTTTCTACCTCTGTCACATAGCTCTCCTATGGTTACAGGCATCCTCTTCTAAAAGTCCAGTTTTTAGCATAACTTAGATCTAGTTTACTTCTGTTTAACACCCAACTGCGCATCAGATCCTGGGGAGCTCTGTTCTGAACAGAGTGCTAAATAACTCTCTCTCAAAAAAAAACCCCCAAACCCACAACCAAAACAAACAAACAGAACTTACTGACACTTGTCAATGTTCAGAGGGAAAGAATTTCCTGACTAATTATTCTCACGCTTTTTGCCTCAGTACTTCTTTCTGAGACATTAAGGTAAAGAGTGAAATAAGCCCCAAATATATTAATTCTGTGTTTAACGATGAGTCTGAAGAGAATGCATAAAATAAAATATCAGGACACACACAGAATCCATATAAAACATGAAACAGTAATTAATTCAGAGAACAGCATATCCCATGTCCTCTGTGAGGCTCACTGAAATTTTTTTTTTTTAAATCACACACTAATGTAATTAAACATAACAAAGAAGCAGAAGAGGGTAAAGTGGATCTACTTGATTTGGTATTTCCCTAGTTCTAAATGCTTGGGTTTTGCAAGCATTATCACTCTCTTGTTTGCAATATATATGTATTTTTTAAACTGAAACATAAAGAGGTGGGAAGAGATGACAACACCTGCATGAAATTTCTACTGTATCTATTAAAAGTGGATCAATATAAGGTAGGAAAATTTCCCTCTCTACTGATGAGATTGCTTATCAAGTTTGGTCATGTATAGAAATTCCTTTTGAAACAGAGTATATTTCTTCCCGTTGGAAAGAAAGAGCAAACCCATTCACGTTTACTAAGCTGCCTTTCTGACAGCTTGAAATAAAAAGACTGCCTATGTCGTAACAACACAGCCGGAAAAGGGAAACCCTCAGCAATCTGAAGGTCTGCTCCCCATATTTGAACCTCGCCAGTCCTCATGAACCTGTAGCCATCTCACCGGGCTGCAAACTGCTGGCTGGTCATTGGAACGATAATACAGCTCTTCCGCTGAAGTCACTAAAACAATACAACTCCATAACATAAAAAGACAAATTGCTCAGCAAACAGATTTGTCTATCCTTCCCCCCGATTAATTTTGAAGTTGAATTTCAGAACACAATAAGATGCCTCATTAAGAACACCGCAGACAAATTCCTTATTTATTTAAAACAAAACAAAAAAAATCAAGTAGATGTATTACAACAACTGTCAATGTGTTGTCACTATGCCTGGAAGAATCAATTTCTGGAGAAAGGCTGAGTTTAGTCTCAAAGTCAACTCTAAACATAGCTTTTTGTCTGAGTCTGAAAACAAAAATGGAAAAAATTTCTTCCTCCTTATCCATCCTCAAGCTGAAACTAGTAAAAAGAACCTGGACTGCAATCATCTAAGACACCTAACAGCACCAAACTAGAAATTAAAATCGAGTGGTTTTCATAATGACCAGTAAACATTATTCTGTTCATTGAAGCATGAAGTGGAATAATCCATGTTATAATCAAGGCTGTCATTGTACATTAGTAGCAAATTGTGAATCTAGGTCCATCCACCCACAAATATAAATGAAATTTTTTCCTGGTATTCAGACCTCCAACAGATGAAGTTAACTTCTATAGGAGTGGCTGAGGTCATTTACATGCAAAACCCTGACTTCTAACTCAATGAAAAACTAAGCAGAAACAGTCAACTATGATCCGTAAAGTGGGTAGTCTTCAGTTGTTTAACAGTAGTAATTACTCTAATTATACAAAAATCCATGATGAAGCTGAGAAAGAGCTGGGCCTTCAGAATATCTGTCCACATTTCAGTTCAAGTGCGAAATGTGCATGCTCAAGGAAATGTAACTGACTGGTTCTACATAAACAGCAGGACAAGAGCACATTTAAAGAGGAGCAGCCACACTCACTTCCAACAAGAGCTGACAAAAACTTTGAGTCTTCTTTTCACTACTATCTTTATGCTAGTAGCTACCCTGAGGCCTGAATCTAGTTTCACCATACTGTATTTTGAAAATATAGCTATTTCTTCTTTCATTAACTGTTTCTCCAATTTCTGTGTCTCCTCCTATTCCTTAAAGAAATATTCACCAACACTCACATGTGGTATTTTATTTTTAATTTTGTACTTAATCCGAGTATTTTGCGTTGTACCCATTTTTTTGTTTCAAACCTTTCCACAGCAGCCTTTACACTGAAATTGAGAACCACGCATCCTCTTACAGTCTTCTCTTAATTTAACTAGATTTATATCAACATCTTCAGGGCCCTTAACTATTTTCCAAAACAATTTTGTGGAAAACTGCAATTACAGTCTCAAGCACATCTGAAAACAAGACCCAATCGTGGTTTGTTAGTCCAAGAATGCTGAAACTAGTCTGGTTGGAATATTTTTAAATTCCAGGGGTTTTTTTCCCCCATCAGTTATAAATCCAGATTAAATTTTAAAAATCTGTTTTATTTAAAGATGGCAGTTGAAGTATTATTTGATGCTTTATATGGGAGTTACATACTGAAAAGAAAACATTAACATGCTCCTAATTATTACAAGCAGTATTTTAAATTTTGGAAAGGTCTGGGCTAGCGGTAATTAATGACAATGAAAATGTTCCAGGAAAAGTAACTGCAGTCAGGAAACTTGAAATTTGCCACAAGCAAGAAGTTTCAGGAAGGTTTTTTCCAATGAGGAAGAAAGTACTTCAGGAAAAAGAAACACAGGAAAAAGCATTAGACCAGCAATTATTCTTGGTGAAAACTGACATAATGCATCATGAGCTTAGAGCTGCACTCTCACACAAATTTACATGTAGACAGCTGCATTTAAAGATTGAGAAATGCAATTCCAATGGTTTCTCTAGATGTCCAGTTCTCACGTTATGGATGTTCAGCATGAATTCTGCTGTGTTTAGTATGCCTTTGATTGTACCACATGGAAAAATAAGCACGGTATTTTAAATCAGGACACGGATATCTGTGTTAAAGAAAACGAACAGAAATTGATTTTGGAACCAGCTGGACCAACAAAATATTGTTAATAGTCACAGTGTATCTCCTTCAGAAACCTTGTTTGTAAAAGTTTGTGAATTCATTCATTGACTTAAGTGGAACACTAACAGTTCTTGGAATACTGACACAAGCAGCTCATAAGGTTAAGATGACAACGCATGACAAACAAGCACTCTTGTGTGAATTTAAAAAACTCAAAACCAAACCCAGATGCTTTTATTCTATATCCAATGTCATACAGCCATTCTGAGCAGCTCATAACAAAAACTGCCCAGAAACTATTTCAAATAAAATCAGACAGCTCTTTTAAGTGATTTCGTAAGTAGCAATAATTATCAAGTAATTTGTTAGAAAGCAAGTCTTCCAGAAGCAAGGGTCTGGGGTTTTTCAGTGAAACTGCAGTACTGTAAATACAGGTTTAGCTGAAATGAATGGAAAACACTCTCAAGCTTCAACCATACATGGCTTTTGTTAAAAATGTCTCTGTTCTAAAAACCTATGCAAAATTCAGAAAAGCAAAACCACAACCAAACAAACCTCAAGCTCCAATATAAGATAATGGCAATAGAATTACAACTAATCGGACAGCACAGAAAACATTTTATTTCAAATATGACAGCTATTTAGTTTACTAACCTCCCCCAAGATGGTTTTACTCACTGTAAAACCTTTGTTTCTAATAATTAAAGATTTGTTACATCAAAACAATCCCATTATATTACCAAATTTTCCCCAATAAATTGGTCTGTTGCTAACTGCAAGCAGCACTTTTTAAACTAAAGGCTCAGAACAAAACCTGGTATCAAAATATGACTAGACATAAGATAAAAAACCCCAAACCTCGCAATTTAAAAAAAAAAAAAAAAGAGGGGGGGGGGGGGGGAATGGGCCAAAAAGCTCACTAAGTCTAGAAAGGCAAAAAGTTAAAAACGAGTACATCCTTGGCGTGTTGCACCAGAAACCTGCTGTGTGGCCATTTCTCCTCGCTCCCCTTTCTCTTCCCCCCACTTTTTCCTCAGTTTGTCGCTCAGGCAAGCACACGAATGACATCTGCCCCCGAGGACCTCTCGCAGCCGCGGGTGGGGAGGAGGGCAGACAACTTTATGACTTGACTTCATGCCCGGCACTTGGGCCAGAGGCAGGAGGAGGGCGGGAGGCAGCGCGGCGGAGCCCTCCCCTCACCCTGACCCCTGCGGAAGACAGACGGGGGCCCGGGCTCG